GATTAAATATAAGGTACTATATTTTAAGTAATCCTATCTACTATACCTATATTCGAATAATGTATAAACTATTTTAAAAATACTTTATGAAATCCTATGTTATGTTATAAATATTAAAATAAAGAACTAAATGAATAAATAAAGTACTAAATAAATGAATAGATGAATAATTAAACAAAAGCCAGAGAGAAAAAGTGAGTTTTAAGTGTTGATTTTAAAACCCCCAGGGTCTGGGCCGACCTCACATGGAGGGGCAAAGTATTCCAGAGCCTAGGGCCAGCCGCTGCAAAAGCGCGATGCCCTCGGGTTTTGAGCCTGGTCTTAGGCACGATCAACAGCAGCTGATCAGCCGACCTTAACGCTCTGCCTGGGGTGTAGCGATGGAGGACTTCAGCTATATAGGCAGGAGCCAGCCCATTTAGGGCTTTAAAAACAAATAAAAGGAGTTTCAAATCTATTCTGAACTGAACTGGAAGCCAGTGCAATGAAGCCAGAATTGGGGTGATTACGTCACGCTTTGTATGGCCAGTAAGAAGACGTGCAGCTGCATTCTGAACTAGCTGGAGGCGTCTAATTGAGGCCTGATCCATACCCACATACAGAGCTTTGCAGTAATCCAGTCTCGAAGTAACAAAGGCGTTAATAACCCTTTCTAGGTCTTTAAAAGATAAAAACGACTTGGTCTTAGCCAATAATCGTATTTTGAAAAAGCAGGTCTTGACTACAGGGCTAACCTGCTTATCAAATTTAAAGGCGCTGTTGAAGGTCACTCCAAGGTTCATAACAGAGGGGAGGATATTTTTATTGAGGGAGCCCAGAATATCAACCGGGGAGACTGTTGGTTGGGGTCCAAAAAAGATGACCTCGGTCTTGCTCTCATTGAGGGTGAGGAAGTTTTGGCTCAGCCAGGATTTAATCTCTGTTAAGCAGTCCTTCAACTGCTGTAGTGAGTTGGCATTTTGATTGAGAGGCTGATAAATCTGTACATCATCAGCGTAACAATGACAAACAAACAAAGAATGACTACATATGGACAAGTAGACGTTGTCAGAGGTGAGAAAGGTGTGGAAATGATGCGAAGAATGATTTATTCTCCTCCTGTACGCTGGCTTCTTGCATACCTGTGGACAGACTGCTGCTCTCTGGTCGAGGGATAAGTAAACAAGGCTGTTGCTCACAGATGGTATACTGCCTGAGATAGATAGCCTTGTCTTAGATGCAAAAAATGCATGCACACACACAGAAATCAAAGTGTGTGTGTGTGCATGGACAAATCTCATTGGTGAATTCACAACTAGAACTAATCTTGTTTTTGTTGGTATTTGTCAGTCGGAAAAGCTACGGAGGAGCAGATGATATGGTATTCAGCATTTGATACTATTTTTGATAGTTAACAGCCTATAAAATAGCCATTATGGTTATAATTTGAATCAGAAATGTTTTATTTGTCCCACAGTGAGGAATTGAGCGAGCAATTAGACAGGATGACAGTGCAGATGATATGAAAAATTAAATAAGTAGCTTGACGTTAAATAGAAAAAGGCTAATTCTATTAGTTTGTGTATACTTGGACCCCTTTTGACCAAAATGTACAAGGCTAATACTCACTTAAAACGCCTATTAAATAAGCTGATATCATTGAAACCATAGCACACATAAGGTGAAGCTGGGATAAAGCAGAGTGTGTGGAAGAAAAGGAAGAAATTAGATGGTAAACTCAGTTCATGACACTGCGTTCCTGCCTCAGTGTGGCTGAGCATTCAAGGTTTTCTTTGATTATAGCGACACTCATTACCTCCACACTGCCTTTTAGCATGTCTGCCTGTACTGTGTCTTTGTCTTGTTTGCATGAGAAACCTGTAATCTTCCAGCAATGTGGGAAGTTATGATAATGAGCAGGTACTGCACACAGGGCCTCACATAGACATCTCTAAATCACCGGAGAAAGCGCAGAGAAACATTACATTACATTTAGCTGACGCTTTTATCCAAAGCGACTTACAATAAGTGCGTTCGACCAACAAGATACAAACTTGAGGAAAACAGAATCATATAAGTACATCAGGTTTCATAGAGCAAAAACATTTCAAGTGCTACTCAACTGGCTTTAGATAAGCCAGTCCTTTATTGGTATATAAGTGCTTTGTTAATAGTTCTATCGCTCGAAGTGGAGTCGAAAGAGATGAGTTTTCAGAAAGAAATAAAAAAGTATTCATCAACCTTAGATTTTTCATTTGTCAGCGAGGCACGAGCGTGACAGCGTAGCTCCCCACATGAAAAGGAGAAATATGAATGCAGAGAGCAGCAATCTTTGTCACTCCGCCATCTCACGCGTTGGACAGCCCTGCTCGGCGGGGGGGAAACGGGAGTTCATTATCCCTAATGTATTCTAATGCACCAAAGTGCCAGATTTCACCACAGCAGAATAGTATTATACTGAGTGAGCATTTGTATGGATTGAAAATGCTTTACTGTATGGGCTCGTATACTGTAACTGTACTGTACATATGCTTAAAATATTTCAGTATGCAGAGTCTCCCTCTGTGATCGACTGGCAGTTTAATGATAAATGTACTTTGATGGATCTTTTCTAGTTTCAACCAGCACTCTATATAAGTATAGCTTCACGGTTTGGGAGTTATACAATTCTGACACATATGGCACTTTAACAATGAAGGACACTACATAATAGGAAATGTGTAATTCTGACTTCCGTTAGTTGAGGAGATGTGTTGATTGCATTTGGCATTTATATTCATACTAGCGAGTGCAATAACAGACAAAAGATAAATGTTGACATTTTCAAACAACTTCTGTCACACCTGTTCAGTTTCTGTGTTCAAAGGATAATTCAATTTTCTTACATCTTGAGTTATATTTTACAACCATATCTATCTGATAGCGACTTTGTAAAAGACGTGACATGAAACGCAAGCGGCCAGAAAAGTAACTGTTCAGGTTAGCCAAACTTATTTAGGTGACGAAACAAAAGCAAACTGTCAAATGACTGTCTTTTGTAAACATTCATCTCAATCTACAGACTAAACTCAGATTCATTTCGCTACTTTTCGTTATTTAAGAAAATTGCTGCTTGATTCTCAAAAGACCAAGTCCCTATACACACATACACACGTTTTTTGAGTAACCAATGGTCGAAAACCCAAAAGGTATTCAGTTTACTTTCCTAAAGAAAATAAATAAATGGTGTGGGAATATGTTAGTTTTCAAACCGAGCAACATCAGTTCAAAGAAATAATTGCACAGGCGTGTGTTTGTGTTTGCATGCTCTCTAATCGATAAGTTGATTTAAATGGCAGATCTGTACAAATGTGTTTTTCTACTAAAAATTCATGCAGAAGTACCACTTCAAATCTGGTGTTTAACAGATGCGCTCAAACATTTGAAAATTATTTCTTCCTGAAGGACCATTAAAATAAATGACTAGGACCAAAACAACCAATTTGTGCACTGATCTACACACGATGGGTAGTTCTTGTATCCTCATCTAAAAATGACCGGATTTAAGTGAAAGTGTCTATTTGTATGCCACTGCTCTGTTGGGTTTTCACAATGAATGCTTGAGATTGCATTCCTGTTACCGTATGTGTATACAGACCAAACGGAAGCAAAGGTATTTCAAAGTCTGTAGTAAAATTGGGAAACGGGAAGAATATTTAATATTCAATGTTGAAAACCACAGCAAAACTTTTTCCCACTGAACGCTGTCTGATTTGTGTCCTAGAACCTCCTGCCTTTGACTTTGAAGATAAGATGGTCCCACTCGTTCCCCAGAGCCTTCATGTGCAATGAGAGTTATGCCTCGGGAGATTTGTATGTTTTGCGCAGGTATATGTGCCATGATAGAAATCCCTTCCTCTAATCCCCAGTGAGTCAATATAGCACCCAAAGCTTTTATCATAGTTTTTCCATCTTCTTGCCCAGGTATCTTTCTGTATTACATCACATATCTGGTCCCATGAGATATATGATATGAGGTAAGATCCCAGTAACTACTGTCACATTATCCCAAAAGAGTCTGACTCACTGAGCTTTATAATGAATTCCTATTCAGTATAAGTTCACGCGCTGTAAAGTCGTCCGCCATGAGCAATACATCGATAACGAAATGCAACTCTCTGATATTTAACCTCCACGTCAGTGAGAAGAGAGGCAGAATATCTTTGGAGCGTGATGTTTATGTATTATATATCGCTGATCACTGCAGATTTCATATATCCCAGCTGGTTTCTTCTCGCCTGTGTATCTGAGCTCCTGTTGATCTAACAAGGAGAGATGGAAATACCTAAGCATGTGACACAAATTGGTGTTTTCCTACCAGCGATTTGACCTGACATTTAGGGACACTGTTCTTTTTAATATGTGAGATGAGAAGAATGTTATCACTGTGGTGTTTGTGCATTAACACGAACACCACAGTGAGCTGTTGCGAGCTTAGTTTAGCCTAAAAGGATAATTCCACAGATTTTTACAAAGTACCCTCTATGGCATACTGTTGCCCTCAGGCAACAAACCACTTTTTTCGACCTCACACTGGCCCACTAAATATTTTTTTTTGTTGAATATACACAATGTCACCTGACATGCTGGTGTCCAATAAAATGAGGGAATTATATGGGTGTGGCATTTTGTCTGGGGGCGGAGCAGTCCTTTCTGCAAGCAAAGCTGCAGGGGACTCAGGGCCACCACTTGGTAAGATACATTTCACTTTTTAACATATTAGAATTGTACACCAATTAAAATAAAAAATACATGCATGTGCATGAATATGTAAAGAAGTATATTTGATTGTTTAAAGACTCATTATGTATTTATTAATTAGCTAAAACTATGTTTTTTTGTTCGTTGCCTCAGGGCAACACTGTGCCACTAAGACCACTTTTTTCCAGGCAATATCATGCAAGTGTAAAAATGTGCTTAGCTGTAAAATGATAAACCTAGTCAATGTTTTTACTTTACTGATCTACTGATATTTACAGGAAATGGACAGCAAAACCTTTTATGGGAAGAAGGGAAACGATCAGGCTGTTAGGGCTATTCCATCTGACAGTGAGGACAGTGAGCTTGATGGGAGTGAGAGTGAGGACAGTGAAGGTCAAGATAGTCAGGAAGAGTGGATCCCTGAATCAGGTTTGAAAAAATAGTTATGTTAGGTGTCAGTCTGTATCATTCAGCAGAGTACTAGTGTCTGTGTGTGTGTGTGTGTGTGTGTGTGTGTGTGTGTGTGTGTGTGTGTGTGTGTGTTTATTTGGCAAGCATATTGGATGAAAAAAGGGTAAATAACAAATTCAAATGTGTGTTTCTATTTGTGCTTCCTGTGTACTATTAGGAGAAGGCATGTCTATTGAAAATGACACTGAGTCTGTCAATGAAGAGGAAGATGAAGATGTAGCCGAAGTTGCTAATCCAGGCCCACCTCGGTGGAAAACAGTCCACAATCCATCCTGCAATCCTTACCCAGAATGGCAGGGTGTATCGAGAAGTGATGAAATCCTCTCCCTCCTCCAGTATTTCCAGCAGTTTTTTTCTGAAGACATTCTAGAAAGCATTGTTCAGCAGTCCAATTTATATGCAATGCAAAATAACCCAAACAAGCCCCTAAACCTCACAACAAAAGAGTTAGAGCAGTTCCTGGGAACTGTTGTGTACATGTCACTGTTTGGTTTACCAAGGACCCGCATGTTTTGGAACAAAGCCTGCAGAGTGTCCCAAGTAGCTGACACCATGACCCTGAATAGATGGGAGGCCATTAAAAAATACCTTCACTTCAGCAACAATGAAGACAGGCAGGAGGAAGGTAATGATCCATTACACAAGATCCGACCGCTTGTCACTCACCTAATCTCCAAACTGAAGTCGATCCCAATGCGTGAGAAGCTGGCAGTTGATGAACAGATGGTCCCATTCAAGGGAAGAAGTAGACTGAAGCAATACCTGCCATCAAAGCCCAAAAAATGGGGCTACAAAATACTCGTCTTGGCTGGCTCTGATGGTGTCCCGCACAACTTCGAAATGTACACAGGGAGAGCGGTACATCCCCCTGAGCTAGCAGATATTGGAGCAAGTGGCAATGTTGTCCTCCGCCTGGCTCAGCCTATACCCAAGCAAGAGAACTACAAACTCTTCTTCGACAACTGGTTCACAAGTGTCCCCCTTGTGCTCACACTGGCTCAGCAGGGGATTCACACTATTGGTACTGTTCGTTGCAACAGACTACCCGGCGTCAACTTAAAGTGCGATGCTGAGCTAAAGAAAAAAGGACGTGGATCGTTTGAAGAGAAGATGGCCATTGTTGGAGAAACCACATTGCATGTTGTGAAGTGGTATGATAACCGTACAGTTAGCCTTCTGAGTGATTACGCTGGAGCGTACCCTGTCAATGAAGTTGAGAGATGGGATCGCAAGCAAAAGCTCATCATGAATGTCCCCCGCCCTGCTGTTGTAAAGGAATACAACAAGAATATGGGTGGGGTCGATCTGCTTGACTCACTGATTGCACTGTACCGGATCAAAATCAGATCAAAGAAGTGGTATCACCGGCTGGTGTTTCACTTCATGGACATGATTATCGTGACGGCCTGGCTGCTCTACAGAAGAGATTGTGAAGGCACAGGCATGACCAGGAAGGAAGAAATGAGGCTGTATACCTTCAAATCATACATTGCTGAAGGTCTGCAAAAGAGTGGAAAGAGTCTGGAACGCAAGAGAGGTCGTCCCAGTCTCACAATTGCTGGTGAGTATGAGGAGAAGAGAAGAAAAGGACCAGACACTCCGATTCCGATCCCTGCTGTTCGCCTGGATGCCACAGCACACTGGATGGTAATGGATGAAAAGAAGGGGAGATGCAAGGTACCAGGGTGCACAGGCACACCCAAAGCCAAGTGCCGGAAATGTGATGTGCACCTCTGCTTCACATCCACAAGCAACTGCTTCCTGAGGTTTCACACAGTGAGAATAATAGCCACACACAGATACTGTAACACACACACACACACACACACACACACACACACACACACACACACACACACACACACACACACACACACACACACACACTGTAACACACTTTGTTGGGGATTTGGAGGGATATCTGATCCGCTTTTCAAATCTCCGCGCGTTCCTATGAAGCTGGTTATAATACAGGAAGGAATCCATATCTACAAAGTAACCGTTAACAATAATCTACTTTAATGGCAATATGACAATGCAATACAATCATTACAATACAACATGATATATTACAGTTATATTGTAATGCTTAAGGAGTAATGCCGGCTTACTCCTGCCCTAGTCCACATGCTGCATCCCTCCAAATCTCCAACAACACACACACACAGACTGTAACACGCACACACATACTGTAACACACACACACACACACACACACACACACACATACTGTAACACACACACACACACACACACACACACACACACACACACACACACACAGACTGTAACACACACACACACACACACAGACTGTAACACACACACACACATACTGTAACACACACACACACATACTGTCACACACACACACACACACACACACACACACTGGTTAATATGAAATGTATGCATGAAATGTTATTTGTTATGTTTTTAATGTGTTCCTGTTATATGTTGTAGCCAGTTGTGGTTATTTAAAACAAATAAAACCTTATGAATTCATACAGAGTTGTTTTTTCTATTTCTTCTGAATTGTAGAAATCCTTGGTGTTTCAATACCCTTGTTGCGCAGTGTTGCCCTGAGGCAACAAACCCACCCCTGGTTGGGGGGTTCGGGGGGGTCACATTTTATAATTGATATAATATCAGGGACCCCTAAGCTCCTAAAATACATGGTGAAACATTTTTTTCCTCCCAAAATAAAAAGTCATGCCATAGAGGGTTAAAGATCTTTTAATACAAACCATTTAAATTGCGTCTTTCATACCTTACATCACATAAAATCAAGCAATAAAAAATCCAATTATCAATCAATTGTTAATAATAAGAAATACAATAGGTAAACGTAATGACTTGTAAAGAGCATTCATTAAATTAATAGAAAGCAAGAAAAGTTTTAAAATATTCCAATTATGAAAAAATGAAATACTTGTTGAGGTTAATGTGTATAAAAAAAGCCTATTAAGCAGTGTTTCCGCCAGGGGGGCGTCTTGCTGTCATTTGACTCCCTTATTCAGCTCGGAACGCCCTGAACTCGAGCCGAGGGCGCCCAAAAAAATCAATAATTCGAGAGAAGATCGAGAGTTTTTATAGCTTGAAATGACGAAAAGGAAAAAGGACAATGACATCCCTCTGTTGGAGCGGCAAAGCAGTCTGGTGGGATTATTTTCGCCGCCGGCAAAATGTGTTCCTGTGACGGAAAGTGTACTGCCGGCGAGCCTTGATGGGGGGTGCTAGTGGAGCACGCGCGTGAACTGCGAGCGCCGGTGTTGTGTCAAATTATGCACCCCCGTCGTGAAATGCACCCCCTGGCCTGCCGTAAAAAGCACCCCCCCACAAAAAGATGCTTCTCTTAATCCCACCCTCAAGCACTTTGGAGGGTATAGTTGTAGGACTAGTACCAATAAATGGAGCAAGTTTCATGTATGTGATGCGTTTATTGTCAGAGATAGCAAGGGGTGCATATCCTGGCAACCAGGCTGTTAATAAAAAGCACCCCCCAAAATAAAAATGTTTCTATTAATCCCACCCTCAAGCACTTGATGTAAACAATACATTGTAAAGCACAAGTATACAGACAGGACGTCACAATTAAATAAAAACATATATTAAATAAAAAATGTACGGAAAAATAAGTGACGAATGAATGCAAAATCCAGGATTCGACAACCCAACCATCAAAAAACCTATATTAACATAATGCAGCGATCGGCCCTTTAACCTTTGATCTGAACCACATGAATAAACATTATGATCCACATGTTCCTTGTATGTTAGCATTCATTGGAATATGACATGTTGACAACAAGAGGCTAATCACTTGGCTCCCTTCCCACCATTGTTGCACTGACTGCAGCTTGATGGAGTCATCTTAAGCACGGCGTACCACAGGAAGCAAAGTAAAAGCGCCGACTCGCATCCTGGGAAATGCCTCAGTTCAGTCAACACTCGACATCCTGCTGTAGCTGAAGTATGTCAGATTCAAGGAAGACCTACAGGTGTGCAGTAGAGGAAGTAAAAACAGATGTTTGTTTTTAGCTTGTTTGCCTACCCTGACAGTTAATACGTTAGCAGATGTTGGTTGCAGCCCAGAAGAGATTTAAATATGAATCTCTAAAATCAGATACTGTAGCAGCAGTGATTCAGAATCAAGTGGCTTGCAGAGTGAACTCTCACACAGAGACAAACCTCTTCGCCATTTACCCGAAACTAGAGGGGTTTTCTGCTTTCTTCCATTCAGCCCAATTCCTCAGAAGGCTCGCAGCACTCGCCTGTTGTTGGTTTTTAATTTCAGGAGCTTCGTGACGCCCTATGGGTGCTGGGAACATGGGAAGCTGTGAAGTGACAGTTTGCCTTTTCTCTGTGTAAAAGTGGGGGAAACTGTTTTTATTCATTTTTTAAATCAATGGCTGCTACCTGGATAATTTGTGTGCTATGTACATAAGGCGGCTAAACCTATGAACACATTTTCCTTTTTGTTTTAAGGCGCTATATCCACAGAGACATGAATATACTTATATATGTGATTTCATGTGTTTATCACTTTAATGTTGTAGCTAAGCTATTTAAATGATAATGACATGTTAAAGAGAAAACATTTTAGTTTGACAGTCTGCAACCAGCCAATGTTGGCACATCTGCTTGATACATTTCTTAAAGTGATTCATAAATGAGTTTTCTGTCATGCGACTTATTGATAATTAATAGTCCGTTATTTGCACGAGAGCCGTTAAAGGATTAATGCAGCAGATCCAATCATGTCCAGACTGTACTACACATAGGAATCCATTACGTCTGAGGCTTTTGCTGTTACCTACAGCTTACCACAGTGAATCCGTCTGAAATGAAATGTCCTCCTGTCTGAAAACATGAAACATGGGCACATTTGAGTCCTCGTGCAGAAGGCTTTTGATCCTGTAACTTCCAGGAAGCGGCTGGTATTTACTGTACGTGTCTCTGGAGTTTTCTGATCTGTGTGTGAGCTGTTCTTTGCTCCCTCTGTTGTACAAACCAGGCTGTTTTGCTGATAAAGGAACTTTTCTCCCTGTGGAAATAATAAGGTATTACCAGAGCTGCTATTTTCTCATTCATATGCATTTTGTCTCTGTATTTGCACTGCATGACTTTTATTTTGATTAATAACGCCTATCTTGCGTTATTTGTTCCTAGTATAGAAGGATCATTTGTACAGACTGATCCTAATTAAACTTGGCAGAGTTATTGTGTTTTCAACTTATAAGGCAATATATGAATAATGCCATTAATCTTTACATTATATATGTTTGTCCTAAGCTCCAGTATGGGCATATTCTTGGGTTAATGTTTCTTTGTGTATTTTTTTTCATTAATTGTTTTTGTCATATTCTTTTATTTATTATGTCTGAATATTCTTAAGAATTAAACATGAATAGCTCTTTAAAAGGGTACACTTCTTTATTTTCATTACATCAGAAAATTACAATAATATAATGTACCACTTTTTTTTGACACCATACTGCCAATCATCTTTAAACAACTTATAGTATGAGAACTACTGCTACCGTTAATACTGCTTCTACAGTTGCTAGTGTTGCTATTGTACCCTAAATCAGCATTTCCTAATCTTAACTGTCTGACATGTTTTTACTATTAAATATGGAGTAATGTCCCAACATAAAGAATCAGTTATGAAGGAACACTGCAGGGACGTATAGAGCCTCTGGAAGGACATACTGTAAGTGAAACAAGATCAGAGTAATGCTGTGATTAAGCCTTATTAATCCAGTGTTGGGATGGCCTCCAGATTGCAGCTCTCTTGGAATCAGACAGACACCTGTCCACTGGCATCAAAACAATTTGGCGATGAGCATCAGCAGTCGAGAGCGTACAATCCTTTGAAACAGATTCCTACAGCCTCAGGGTTTACAGATAAATGCTCTCATAAACCCAGCGCGAATACATATTTCCTTGTTGTTTTTTTTCCTCTTGAAGATAAAAGGTTCTTGATAATGTTCCACTGAACTCAAATCCGGGCTTTTTATAAGCATCCGCTGTTCCCGGTCCAATAGAGCATTTATTGTAATCCTGATTACAGGCCATTTGACTCCAATAGGACTTTAGAACAAACTGTACAATGCCTTCATCCCTGTGGTGGAGAGTCATTACATTCATTTACTCAAGTACTGTAGCAGCTAAAGTAACTTTTTGGCACAATGTTTCTTTCTTTAAGCCTTTCCATTTTATATTATATTTACATTTTTCATTCATTTGACAGCTTAAGTTACAAGTAACATCGCATATTCAGAGTCCTTATATATCAACTAATTATGATATAGTATTACCGTTTAAGATACCCAGCAGTTAATAACGTGAATACAATTGGCTCCACCAGCTGTAACATTAAAATGATGAACACGTAATGCACCATTAACTGTAATTTATAGATAAAATATAGATATATTATCCTGCATAATGAGTCGCAATGCATTTCCTCTAGTATTTGAAGTTGACTTTGAAGCTTATTTGTACCTTTTTATTTGTACTACTGCCCACACAAAGTATTTCGCAGTGTGGTATGGCTACATTTACTTAAGCCAACTATCCCAAGACTTCAATCTTCACTGCATCATACCTTTTTAAATACATGAGGCTATATCCTCTAACTCAGTGATTCTCAAACTTTTTTCAATAATGTACCCCCTTTGAAAAAAAAATTCAGCCAAGGGAAGAAATGCCTATATAAAGAGGTACAGTACAGTGCTGCACCATCGGTGTCTGATTTATTAAAACAACAA